GAGTAAATTTCCTCTTCCAAATGTTTTTTTTTTTTTTTTTTTGAGAGGTTTTTCTTATTGGGCGTGTGCGCTTGGCAGAAAGACAGAGACAGAGAGATAGAAAGCGAGAAATCACCCCCCCGGGGGATGGCCACGCCACAATCCTTTCTCCTCCATTCTCCTCTTGGGATCTTGGGCACGCACGCACATGTGCCCGGTGTGAGTTTAAGCCACCGGGTCTGGGATGTGAACCGCGGTCGACTACATGGGAGTCCAGCGACATAGCCATTACGCTAACTGCTGGTCCCCCTACTGCCACTTTTAAAAAAATTTGTTAGAGGGCAACTATGATTAGTAGAGCATGATAGAGAAAGGAGAGATCGTAAAGAAGGGAGCGTGTACCATCTGCGGGGGGTGGCCAGCTCTAATTCCTCCTCTTCATTTCTCTATGCCGTCAGGATTTGGGGCATGCACGCACAGACGCCCAACTTGTTATTCAAGTTTTTCCCTGGGCTGGGATTTGAACCACATAGTCATTCGTATGGGATATGGCTCCCTTAAGCAGCAGGTCATGGAGCGGAACACTTGTATTAAATTGAAAAGTTCTCCTTCTTAACGAGTTTCGCCTTTCAGAATGCCACCACTCTGCTGCTTCGGGACGTTGCGAATGAATAACACCAAGTGATTTTTCGAGGCAAGGCTTTGTTTGGACAGCTAAACGAGACTGTAACGTAGACTCGCTCTTCCATAAAGGCTGTGAGCAGTAGGCTTCAGTAAAAGCCAGAGGTGGGGACCAGCAGTTAGCGTAATGGCTATGTTGCTGAACTGGACATGTTTTGACTCTTTTCGCTTTCATCACATCCTGCATGAAGGTGTTTCTGAGAGGAAAGACTCTAGAACTCCAGGCTGAGAGTGCCAGGGACGCTCTGAGCTCCCTGACAGACCACCTGTACTCCAGGGGACGACTGCTACAGATGTCCAGGCCGAGAGAGCAGAATAGCGGTTGTTAGTTCCCTGATTTCCATGAGTGCGGTAGTATATACGTGTGTGTGTATAAATATAGATATATTTTAATTATTATTTTTTAAGTTTCTTTTTTTTCTTTAGAGAGTGATTTTTGCTATACGGTGCCTGCACTTGCTGGAGTAACAGAGACACAGAAAAACAGACAGCGAGCTGTCGTTCCCCCAGGGGAGATGGTCATGGAACAATCCCTTCTCCTTCATTCTCCTCTCTAGATTTTGGGCACACATACCTAATGTGAGTTTTAAGTCGCCGGGTCCTGGACTTGAACTTGGTCAACTATGTGGAAGTCCAGCAATATAACCATGAAACCATCTGCTGGTCCCTATTTTTAGTTTCTTATGGGTGTATACGCATTTGCCAGAGAGAGACGGAAAAATTGAGAAATCATCCCCCTGCCCCTGGGCGGGGGGATGGCCACACCACAATCCTTTCTCCTCTCAGGATTTTGGGCACGCACAACACACGAACCCGGCATGTTTTTCAACCAACCAACCGTATCTGGGACTTGAGCCATCGGGTTGGCCATGTGAGATCCAACCGCCCTAAGCACCACCCACCCTGGCCAGCCTGATCTGGTGCTCACTACAACTGGATTCCATCTGAACTGACACGTCGAGGGGGAAATGGATGCAACCCCGTGATGGCCCCAGAGCGCCCCCTAGTCCCGGGGCTGCACCACCACCATGAATGTTCTCAGCTCCTCCCGCTCTGTGGCCTCATCTGGGCTCAGGATGAGGATGCATTTCCCGTCCAAGGAACACGCGGGCCTTACCTGACTCCTGGAGATAGCGATACACCAGAAAGTTCACCTCGTCGCTGGTTATGCTCATCTTAGCCTCACCTCGTGGCGACGAGGTCTTCACGAAGCGGCAGCCACCCTCTGTGGGAAGAACAAGGCACATACGGAGTTTCAAACACTGCCCGGTAGGTGCTGCCAGTGCTCTGCACTCTTGGGGAGACTGTTGAAGAAAAGACTACCCAGGCTATTATGATGCCTATTAACGAGTGTCTGACTGAGTTATATTTTGTAATTGTGTGATCGCATAAAACTCTCATTTTATATACACACATAAAGTTTTCACTTTTTTTTTTTTTTGGAGAGGTTTTTGCTGTGCGCTCGCCAGAGAGACAGAGAGAGACAGAAAGTGAGACATCACCCCCCCAGGGGGGATGGTCACGCCGCAATCCCTTCTCCTCCATTCTCCTCTTGGGATCTTGGGCACGCATGCACATGCACCCGGCGTGAGTTTAAGCCACCGGGTCCAGGACTCGAATCGCAGTTGACTACATGGGAGTCCAGCGACACAGCCATTATGCCAACTGCTGGTCCCAAAGCGGCTAAAGAAGCTGGATCCCAAATGGGCAACCAGGGATTCAAATCTCAGTCCCAGCAGCCTGAAAAATATGTTGGGCTCCTGTGTGTGCCCCACATCCAGACAGGAGAGAGAAACGGAGGAGAGGGGATTGTAGAGTGATCGCGCCCCTTGGTGGGTGCTTTCTCTCTCTCTCTGGTGAACACATGCATTCTCTCACAATTTAGAAAACAAGCTATATAAGAGTTTATATATTTTATAAAGTTAGCATAAAGTATAAACCACATGAATGAAGCCCAAATCAGGGAAAACAAACACTGAAAAATAAGCTTCTTTTCTTTTATTCTATAGGGTATACGCAATTGCCGGAGAGACAGGGAGAGAGGGAATCATCCCCCATGAGGTATGGTCAGCCCATCATTCCTTCTCCTCCATCTCTCCCTCCTTTCAGAATTCTGGGCATGCACATGCATGTGCCCAGAAACCACCAGGTCTGGGTATCGAACCACACAGTCAGCCATAACCATCCTGATAGACGTTGTGGCCTCTCTCAGGATGGAGGTGCCCTGGGTTTTATTACTCGCTGGCTCCCTTGACCATTAGGCCAAGGGTTGACCCCACACACTGACAAAAATAATTTTCTCCTGGGCAGGTGTACTCACCGGAGAGACAGAGACAGAGGGAGCAAAAAGGAGAAATCACCCCACAGAGGGAATGGTCACACTGCAATCTCTTCTCCATTCTCCTCTGGGGTTTTGGGCGCTGATGCACATGCGCCCAACATATTTTTCAAGCTACTGGGTCTGGGGCTCGAACTGACACTGAGCACTCTTCCAGGCAAACGGAGAAGATGACTGAGCGGATCAGGAGTCTGTCCACAGCCTGAGGAGGAGCAACCACATGGTCCTTTCAGTCATCCAAGTGTAGGCGGGCTTAAGCAATGACTAGGGGGTATAAGCTACACTGAGAAGGAAGACGGACATCGGGAGGAGCTGACGGTGCACGTCCCCTGGACATCGTTTCTACGATGAGGTCAGGTCCTGGAGCGGGGAAGAACGAACGCTTCCTGTGTCTTGTCATGGAGCCCACTGCATCAGCCTGGCCAAGGCTCGCAGGGCGTGGAGGGCGGATGGAAACTTAAGGGAGGGCTGGGGACAGGGACAGTGGAAATTGCAGGGCCCTCTGTTCCAAGCCTTCCTTCTGGGAGGACCTGGTTCTCTTCGAGGCCATCCTAGTTAGGAACTCGAGAAAACCAGCCCACAGAGAACATAATCAAGCTGGAGATGATGCATCAGAGCCATTCAACCGCACACAGTCAGACCCCCTCCAGCACCCCTGCCCTGCGAGAGGCCACCGCTTCTTTACATTATTTCAAGAATTATTTAATTGTATTTATTATTTTATAGTATTTATTACTATTTTTTAAAATTTAACCATAAAGAACAAGTGAGAAAGCAAGCCACCAGGATGAGGACTTGAACCGCGGTCTGCCATGTGGGAGTCCAGCGACTTAACCGCTATGCCACTTGCCAGCCCCCACAGCTTATTTCAATGGAGTCGCCGCCAAGTCCTAACATCTTTAGGCTATCCAACAACCGTCTTTGGAGTTCATTTTTGATATTTGCGATAGCTTTATAAGCAGCAGAACTTGTAAAATGGAGGTTTAAACTCACGCCAGGTGCGTGTGCACATGCGTGCCCAAGATCCCGAGAAGAGAATGGAGGAGAAGAGACAGTGGCATGGCCATCCCCCCTGGGGAGCGATTTCTCTCTTTCTGTCTCTCTGTCTCTGTCTTTCTGGTGAGCGTACACACCCTATAGCAAAAACCTCTCAAAAAGAAAAAAAAAAGAATGTCTCAAGTTGTATGCTTGAACTTTAGGGAATTCCCTTGTAAGACAAGCAGGAGGAAAAATATTAGAGGCTAAGTAAGAAGCTACGAAATAGCATATAAACTACCAACACTCACCTAAGTGGATCATGTGGTTATTAACAATGTAATATTCTCCAAGCTCTATGAAGGAGCCTGCAATCTGCTGGAAGGTAAATGAATCACAGAGAAATAGCCCCCTGCAAGGAAGGGCAACACCGTTCAACCTCTGAACTTCACGACAGTCTGAGCGGACTGACCGGAGAGTCTGGTTCTGCCCCTGCACATCACAGAGGAGGACACTGAGCACAGACAGGAAGCCGTGGCTGCCAGGACCTCACGGGGTGTACACAGAACGTGGCTCTCTTGAGCCCAATGTCCTGCTTTGGAATTGGCCCTCTCGCCACCACTCCAAATGAGTTCCCTTTTATTCTGTCCTGTTAAATGCTTAGAGTCAGGAGAGTTTCTCAGCTCGGGAACCAGCAGTTAGCGTAATGGCTATGTCACTGGACTCCCACGTAGTCGACCGCGGTTCGTGTCCCGGACCCGGTGGCTTAAAACTCACGCCAGGCGCGTGTGCGTGCGTGCCCAAGATCCCGAGAGGAGAATGGAGGAGAAGGGATTGCGGCGTGACCATCCCCCCTGGGGGGTGATTTCTCGCTTTCT